GTCTCTACGGAACATGACGTACTGTAATACTTGTACACCACCACTGAAAACAGAATGAAAAAAAAAAAATAAACACTACTATTATGAATTCATTGCTACTCTATTTTAGACTTTTCTATGGATTGAGATGGATTCTTTGTGTCATTTAATGAATTAAGTAGATAAAAAGAGCGCACCTGATGAACGATTTGGACAAGGCGAGATACAGCCCATGGGGGAAGCCGAGGTCCGGCAGCGTAGATGAGCACGATAACCTGGCGACGAAGGTGCCACGCGCGAACGATAGAAGGCAGCGCAAAGGCGACAAAAAAGGCTTCGGAATCAGCGAGCTGCAACGAAAAGCAGGCAAGAAATAAGCGCCCTTGTTTGCAGCTGTATGTATCATATCATTGGACAACCGCGAGGACCCCCTTCCCTGTCCCCGCGTAGTTGAAGAAAAAAGAAAAAAGGGCGTATCGTACCTAATAGCTTCAATAGATCCGGACACGAAAACAAAAACGGCATACGACATAATTACCACGTCAAAATAGCAGTAGACGGGTACCCCGACAAAGCAAACAGCAATAGCGCCGTTCAAAGCCGATTTGACACTGTTTTTCGGACACCGTTCTCAAAGCTTCTACATGCTGCGTTGTCCAATCCGCATTCGTAGTGTGGGTAAGGACAGATGGACAACTATTTAGGCCCCCCCACTGGACACGATTACGATCGTTCCGGAAAGGGGTGCCGAAGCGCTCGATCAGAACCAATCCAACCAGAAAAGCCCGGGGCGGAAATCCGAGACGATTCGTTTCTCAGAATTAAACAAACAAATAACAACAATCAAACGCTACGATAATTAGACATGGACACCCATGGAGAGATCCATCGCGCAAACCTGAACCTCCTCCCTCGTCAAATCGCATCACAAGCGCGAGCCCCCCGCCCCGAGACAAAATAGCAAACCCGGAGGAATAGGAACATGCGAAAGCCGCCGGCGAAAGGCATGTCTTCCCTACCCCCCCCCCAAAAATAAAATAAAATAATAGATAACAAGCGCGAGCCCCCTCCCCAAAAAAGAAAACAACTCATAACATTACATGGCAAACCTGGCGGAAGAGGAACGTGCGAAAGCCGCCGGCGACAGCCATGTCTTCCCTCTTGATCGCCGAAACCAGCTCCTATAACAGCTGGGGCAGCGGCGACGACCCGG